CCTGAAATTGTGAAAGGTCAGATCAGAGATCCTTCTATAAATCAGGCAAATATAAATGACATTATATTGAGAATAAAATAAACCAGAACATGTTCTGCAGAGACAGAGGGTATAGTCATCTGTTTGTCTGTCTCAAATCTTGACTTTAGGTAAAGCAGAAAAAAATTATCTTTAAGAGTTCTTCACCACAAGTGTGCATCCATATAGGTAGGCTTAGAGCCAGAATTCATGATATATGTTGGCCAAAAAACCTAATCATAACACTGAATGGGTTTCAGTTGGTAGCAGCCCCAGATATCTGGCAGAAGCTAATATAAATCTCCTCTGGAGGAGCATATTTTAAATATAGGCTTCAAAGGTTTCCTCCAGATATGGTTTTCAAAACATGAGCTCACAACCCAAAATTACAAAACACAGAAAGAAAGTAGCCACCAAGAATATGAGTCAGCAGATTCAAACACAGAACCTATAGATATTAAAATTATCTGAGATTTAAATATTAGAAAATATAGGGAAAAGAGTTTAAGTAGCTTGGAGAATAGATACAGAAGGCCCAACATACACAAAATCAATGAAGGAACTGTGAGAACTTAGAGGGTTCACAGATATACCCATTACAGGGACACACATCCAAAACATCTCCAAATGTGAATGGAACTTTGTCACCTATTAGGTGTTTGTTTACCCTACCAAAAATCCCCCTTCCCATCCTCCATCCCTGAGAGGATCCACAAATTTGCATAAATAAGTCCTTTTTTAGAAATAGAAATACTCTTGAAGAGTTAAGAATATATCATTAACTTTTGAAGGTGAATTTTTCCTACCAAAGTGGCTTCTCTCCTAATTTCAGAGGAAGCTGTGAGTAAACAATCTGTTTGAGTTACTGTGCAGGAAATTTAATAAAGTCTGGGAGTACTAAATCAAAGGTCACTGGAATCAAAGCAATACAACTAGCAACCAGAAAGGTGGGTAAATACTTTTGGAGTTGAAAAAGCTATTCTTATCTAGTCTAAAAATAAACAGTAATAAGAATTAGATAGGTTACACTACATAAAATATATACATTTCTCTTGTTTAACTGATTTGCATAGCCTATATTTAATTTTAATTTTTAAGTATTCAGTACTATGCTTGTTTTATGAAAATAATAACATATTTACTGTTAGTACAGACATGAACTCAAAGTGCTGTTTTTGGAAATGGTTGCTGCCTTTAAAGTTCTACATGGAAAAAAATCATCTAAATATTTGTGATAGTAGTTGAACTTGGAAGATCACTCCAGTGACACCAAAGATATCTACTTCAATAAGCTTCAGGGAAAGGAGTAATTTTTCTAATGCTGTATTTCTACCAAACCATAAAATTACTTCTATGAAGAAAAACTGACTCCTTAAAATTAAACCCACATGCAAAGTCAAACAAGAAAGTATTTTTAAGGACAAGAGATTGAATTTAATGTGATCTAAATCAAATCTTGCTTACAATGACCTGAATTAATTCAACTTTAATCCAATTTAGTATTCAAAATGAATGGTTAAGAAGGCTTCTAACGGCCACTTAAAGGGAAAATATTGCAAATTGAAATAGTGAGTAGATCCTTAATAGATTTTTGAACTAGTAAATTAAAATAATAAGTGTCTTTGCTTTATTTAAAACTAACACATTTTAAATATCAACTAAAGTGATGTTTCTTAAACTGTAAATGTATCAACAACCTATTAGTGGAATTTGACCAGCATTTTTACTTCATAGAAGAGCACAGAGTAACTCACACATTTTAAGGATAAGAATGTTTTGTAAATTTCTTGTTTCAGATATGTATAGATGCAGATTGAGAGAAATTATATAAAATGTATTTCTATATATCATAATGGAAACCCGTATGAAAGCCACTAGCCTAAGGTTCTAAGAATTAGAGTTAAACACTTAAAAGGATTTTTAGGAGGGCAACATTTTGTGCCTACAGATCTCTAATTGCTGAGTTACTACAACATCAGTAGGGGGAGGAAGTGGGGAGAAAAATGTCACAAGCTGTATTCAAGATACAAATTTCGTCACAGAGAAACAAAGCAAGAGCCCCATCATCATAAACAGGACCTAAGGACAGAAAAGGACCAGCTGAAATATGACAAGAGTGGGTTACTGTGCCTACATCAAGTCAACTATCCGGAAATGACCCCACGATCTGGGGTGATGAATGAAAGAGCCAAGGGGCAAGTTTCACTTGGCTTTCAGCTGGAACTGAAAAGGTAAATCCTAGATTTTCTCTAACCTCTTCTGCTCACCTCCTGACCTTTTTTCCTACTGTATTGCTCATGAAGGTGACATAGAGTATTAAGCACTATAGAAATGTCACACTGTCTACTTTTCAGAGTGCTTATATATTATATATATATATATATATATATATATATATAGTGTATGATCACATTTGAAATTGATAAATTCCTACTAGGCAGAGTAAGAGGTATCAATCACACTCACTGATAACACAAAAACAGCAGAGTTCTTGGCACTGGTTGTGTCACCACTCACTCTGGAGGTTCCCAACTCCTCCCCAAAAGCTGCTGTTTCAAATGCAGCTAATAACCACTCAATGCTGACTCACAGAGAACAACCCAACACAAGATGGCTGCACATATAATCCTATTCAATTCAATGTCAATTTACCGTAACAAGTCACTAAAAGAAACAAATTCTTAGTTTATGTAAAGAAACTTGTTATCAACTAAATGTCATGAAGCATTTTTTGTAGCCATATTAATTACTGGCTAGATAAAACATATCTTCTTGTTTAAGAAATATTTGAAAACCAATTAAATTAATCCATCATATCAATAGACCAAAGATGAAAAATCATGCTATAATCTCAAGAAAATCATGAAAATACTTGAAATGTTAATATTCATTTACAATTAAAAAAAAAACTTTCCCCAAACTAGGAATAACAGCAAATTTCCTCAATTGATATCAAGGATCTACAAAAACAAAAACCTTCATACTTAATAATAAAGAGTGTGTGCCTCCCAGAACCGGGAAAAAGGCAAGGATCTTTACTCTAAGCACTCCCATTCATCATCATACTGGCCCTAGCTAGTGCAAAAAAGGCAAGAAAAAGAAATAAACTGCACAGAGATCAGAACGGAAGATATAAAATTGTCTATACTCACAGATAAGACGATTATGTATGTAGAAAATGCCAAAGAATCTTTTAAGAAGCTACTAGAACTAATAGAAGTTATTTTCACAAGCTTATAGGATATAAGGTCAATATACAAAATTAACTTTATTTTCATATACTAGCAATTAACATTTAGAAATTGAGACATTAAAAATACCATTCACAGTAGCATCTAAAAGCATGAAATTCTTAGAAATAAACTCAAGGAAATATGTATAAGACCTGTTTTCTGATAACTACAAAACACTAAGAGTAACCGGAGAAAAACTAAATAAATGGAAAAACATACTATGTTCGTGGATCAAAAGAGTTAATATTACTAACATGACTTTTTCACCCCAGATAATCTATATTTAACTCAATCTAATCAAAATTGTGAAAAGTATCGAACTGATTCTAAAAGGAAAGTAAAATTCTTGTATCAGAATAGCTACCAGGTCACAACCAAACCAAAGAAGCCAATACAACCTGAGACAGAATAAGTATGGTCTAAAATTCAAGACTGAAAGTAGCTTTGGGGAATGAAATATGCCAAGTATGACTTCTGAGGTTGTAACATATAGGATAATGCCTTAGAATACCCTCAAAGAGTGGGACATGTATTAGAGGTGGTACATGAAATGATTTTAAGGGTTCTTAACATGAACTGGAGTGGTAAACAAACACAATTCTAAATAACATTGAATCACACAAGGATTTCTTCTCTAGTTCTCTTAGTTTTCTGATTATGTATCATTGTGTATCATTTCATGCTACTATGTCTTTAACACCACTTTATTCTCTCTTTTAAACAAAAAGAAAATACAAAATAGCTAATAGTAATGTAGTCGGTACCTTTGTTTATTTATTTGTGTGGTTATCTTCTCTTTATGGCAAGCAAACTGGTTTTTCATTTGTGGTAATAATGCCAAGTTTCTGCATAAACTAAATGGTTTTCAGTTAAAAAAAAAAGGAGGGGGGGAAGAGCAGTTAATTTACTAAAAAAAAAAAAAAAGGTTAAAAATACTATAGTAGAATACTGATATAGTAATAATTGAGATTGGATAACAGTACCTTAAAATGTTAATTGTTAAGAAAGAATATGTATCTGTATATAGTATTAGCATATCAATAAGCACTGAATCATTACTGTATTAATGAAATTTTAAAAAATGTATGAGCAGGATATTTTCATGTTATAAATTATTTTTAATTTTAATTACTTGCATCTTAATAACCCCCAAAGTTTCAGATACCAGATTACTGATAAAAGGCAAGATTAAGATTTTGTATTTTGTAAATTAGGATAAAACTCAATGAAATTGAGGGAAAGGCGGGAATATATCTGTACAATAAAGATCAAATTCCATTCTATCTGTCTTTCTGCTAATGAGTGCTCTCACTTGAGTGTGGGCAAAGAAGATATGCAGAAGTTACCCATGAAAAAAAGATTCTGTCTTCATAGAAGTTGGCAATCTACTATTTTTAGTTTTGCTCTTTTTTCTTTCTTTTCTCTTGATACACATTTAAGTTTCTTCCTTTTAAAGGAATCTATAAAAATTTACATTTTATCTTAGGTCCATTAATCACTTCAAAAAATACAATTCACATGGACAAATTTCTTCAAAATTGTTATGCTGTTGTCAGTGTTTTGATAGTCTTGTGCAATTAAAAAAAAATCAACCTCAGCTAGGCTCTAGAGAATTTTACCAGTCAAAGAAAGAGAGAACTGTAAAGCAGATTTTCTTATTTAAAGAAACAAAACATTTTGATTTCTATCATGCTTATAATTTCTCAAGAGTAAAATTAAATTTGGAATGAACAAAGATAAACCACTTACCTGTTGGAAGGTGCAGTGTTATGTTGTTGCAAAAATCTGTGAAGCAGCATTCTGTTTTGGTAACATTGTTGGAACTATGACAGAAGACTTGTGCATTTAATTCTGGGAGAGAGACACAGGATTTGATCACCTGTTCCTTTCCATTGGTTAGCATGACGGAAGCCCAACATGCTCCTTCTGTTTGGCAGGTAAAATTTGAAGAGTCACACAAAAGACAAACACACTTCAAACCTGGAAAAGGTAAGGAAAAAAGCTTTCAGATACAAAAGACATCATGCAAATTTATTTCATAATACTTGAATAGAGAAATTCAATCTTAACAAAAATTGAAAGAGGATTTAAATAACACTGGGCAGGGGAGGGTATATAGCTCAGTGGTAGAGTGCATGCCTAGCATGCATGAGGTCCTGGATTCAATCCCCAGTACCTCCATTAAAAATAAGTAAACAAACCTAATTACCTTGCCCCCCACGAAAACAAACAAACAAGTAAATAGCACTGGATAAACACAACTGCTAATGCTGTTACTCCCTCTCAGTCATGTGTTTTATCAAAAAGGTTGCCCAATCATCATTTACTATTGTTTATATTTTTACAAGTAATTTATTCAGTTGCTGCTATATTTTAAACCAGTTTCCTCATCTGTGGTCTAAATTCCTCCTTTTTTAAGCTCAACCAGCTCATTCCTACATCAATAGCTGCTATGAAATGCTAAGACACGGTAACTCAGCAACGTAGGGGCGCTGCCCAGCATCACTTACAGTGATCACTTATATTAAAGTGTTGTTACAGGACCTGAGTAACCAAACAATCCTGTGTATTCTGTACATTTACTCTTTCTCCTTTAAACTTCAAAGCGAATGTGCCAAACACAAACCTAACTATAGATACTTATGGCTTTAAAAACAGTGTGATTATTTACATTTATATTATGTGGCATTTTAACAATATTGTTATTGTCATAGTACCTTTAAGGCACTGATGAGCCATTATACTTCCCCCTCTTCACTAAAGAATATATCTTCGAATGAGAATCATTTGAACATAGACCATGACCTTCTGGTAATGTTTTTTTAACGAACACATCTATTCAATAGAGCAAAACACATCAATCGTAGAATAATATATCTATATCAATAAGACTTTCAAAAACTAGACTTTACTATATTAATCTATTCCCTTCACAAGTTTCCTCAACATTCTTCACTTACTAACCACATACACACATTAACTTGCAAGTTCAAAGTGGTAGAGTACTTCTGATGTAAAATATTCATCATCATGAAAAGTCCAGTGGTTGCAATTTATTCAAATTTTATTTAATTAAATTATTTTAAAATAGAACAATGCTGAATAAGCCTTTTGTATTATATTTTAATGAACTTTTTGTTAAATCACAACAGCCCCCCCTAAGATTTCTGAATGTCCAAAGTTGTTCCATACAATAGTTTTTACTCAAAGTCTTTAAATTGCTAATTATTCAAACTGGAGCTGATTTTATACCTGTAAAATACCTGATACATAAGTGGCCATTTTTATACTCAACTTTAAATATCAATGTAAGCAATATGGATAGTATTCCAATATGGCTGCATGTGTAAGAAAGAACAAACCACATATGGATCAGTATAAATTACCTTTCTTTTAATAATTTCTCTTGGTCAGTAAAATATCATCCCTTTAAATATTTTTATTACTGTGCACTAAGGGAATTTCAATCATGAAATGAAATACCATTTTGTTATCAACATTAGACCAAATTCTTCTTGGTCTTATTCTTCTATTTATTTCAGTGATTATCAATATAAACAAATATAATCTTTTGTTGATATTGATGTGCTATAGTAGGACCTTTTAATCTAGATTGATTTTGATTCAGTAGAGCTAGATATATAAAATCTAGGTGATTTGAAAATGTCTTATGAAAGAGAGCTCATATAATAAAGATCCATTCACTGAGGCATTTTCTGACAGCAAAATCTCTCTCCAGCATCTTCTGATTCCAATCTGACAAAAGCCTTCAAATTCTGCTGATAATCTTGGATGCTACTTGGCTCCTCTGTGCCTCCACTTCCTTATATGAAAGATAAGATATACCTCCTCATAGTGCTGTTGTGGAGAATAAAATAGTTAATATATAAAAAGTCCTTAGAAGAATGCCTGGTACATAGGAAGTACTATGTAAATATTACTGACTATGTTGTCTTTTACTGGAGGAGTTAAAGCTAGTCGTCCTATGAATCAAAATATATTTGTAATCCACAGAGGAATGGCTGAATGAACTAAGGTACACAGACCATTTAAAAAGCATAACAAAGAAATGCATCTGTTTCTTCACTGCCAAGTGAGTTGGATGCTATCATTCTTTTAATGGTCCCCGCTAGATCCCAGTCAGTCAGACAGCAGGGTTGTCTGGTGATAGTACAGATAAAGAATTCAGGAAAAGACAAAGTTTTCAGTCCTAGCTCTGTCACTCATTTGCTGATTGACTTTGGAGAAGATATTTAACCTTACAGGGCTTTAGTGCCTTCCTCTGAAAATAGGAAATGAAACGGGAGGGGCAGCGGGTCCAGAAATCTTTAAGTCTCATAGAATGCAAATGTTTTATGACTCTATGAATTTAAAACTTGTTGAAATTTGCAATTACAAAATATGGAAAACTCTTTTACAACTAACAAACTTACCCCACTGTGGTTATTCTTCAGTCTCATATTTTAAGGGGCTGAAGTTGGGAAGAATAGCTCTCCTGATACATAATCTCAAATCATTTGTTACCAGACTCCTCATCAGAGTCTCCTTGGATTTTCTATTTTCCAAAGAAAGAGGATGGGAAGGGATAATTTGGGAGTTCGAAATTTGCAAATACTAAATACTATATATAAAATAGATAAACAACAAGTTTCTACTACATAGCACAGGGAATTATATTCAATATTTTGTAGTAATCTATAATGAAAAATAATATGAAAAGGAATGTATGTATGTATATGCATGACTGAAACATTATGCTGTACACCAGAAATTGACATACTGTAAACTGACTCTACTTCAGTAAATAAATAAATAAGCCTGGCATGGAAATCGAGGCAAGTAATTAAGTAATATGGATCCACTGAATGGAGACAACCATAAAAGCACTCAACAACTAAAAACATATGTTAGTTTCACGTGTGCGTATCATTGCATATAATTCCTGACACAACTATAGGAGTTGGCTGTCACTTTCTCCATTTTACAGTTAATGAAATGAGGCTCAAAAAGATTAAGTGACTGAATTTATGTGGCAGTCATTAGACTACTCAAACAATGTTGTTTCTATCCTACCAAAGCTGACATTTTTAAAAAAGATGCGTACAAAACCCATTCTCCCACCTCACCAGTTTCTAGCAACTGTGAATAAAGTATAACTCATAAAATTCATATTTCATATACAATAAAATATTCTATTTTTAGAATAAAAAATAATCCTAATACAGCAAAAAGAAATTAATAATTACTTAATGATTGGCAATTGAGATTTGGATCTTTATTGTCTTGATTACCTTTTTAAACAAATTCTACCTACTATTTTATGAGGAGACAGATGGTCAAATAAAAATTTGTATCATACATGTAGTTTAAATAATCTTATCTTTCTGTTTAAGTTTTGTATTAAGTATAAGCTTCTAAGTACCTAACCTGATGCTTTCTCTTGGAAGCACTATTAACTCCTTTTAAAAATGATTACATAACAGTTCTTATCAAGGAGTAACGTGTATACTCACTGAAGGTTTAGCAGGCTATAAAAATTTCCTTCAGTTTAAAGTAAAAGGTAACAGTCAGAAGAATAATAATACACACTGAGGTGATATAGTTAAGACACAGTAAATGACACTTTACTTTAAATTTTGCACGATGGCAAACACTGACAAAATTGAGAATTTGTTGATGATAATGGCTTCCAACAATTGCTAAATGTTCTCATTATTTCAAGTCAGTTGGCTGTACTGTAGACTGACAGAGAAGAAACAGCAAACCAAAAGGAACCTATGATGCATAACTAACACATAACCTACAACATATTCAGTCTTGCACATAGTGGATTGGTGGGAAATGGAAAATGCAAGGTTGAATGTAGAACCTCAGTGTTGTCAATTAAAGGATAGGTTACCATTAGTGACTAGACATGTGTTCATATTTTTTTTAAATGATGTTGAGTCAATCATAGTAGAATATCCCATGACAGGAAAAATCTGGTTGTTAGCAGACAACAGGTCAGACTTAGTTTTCTTCATTTTATACTTTCCCATTATACTGTACTTGAGTCATGTGGAAAGAGATAGCAAATGAAGTTGAAGAAGGAGGTAATTATCCGTAATAAGGAGGTCTATTAGATTTTTCCCTACAAGGAAGATTGTACTTTTCTTGTCTCCTCCCACCCTTTTAATTTTAATTATCCTCCTCTTCCCCCTTTTTGCCAATTAGTCTATAAGAGCCAAGACATCTGTTACCCACAAGACATCTGTTACCCACATGAAACCAAAGGATGTGCACATTCCTAATCAACCAGAAAATAAATGTTCATCCCTATTTACATGTGATAGCAAGCACACCCTGGTGTTTAGAACCGTAAAACTATCAGAGTACAAAAAAGAGCCAAATGCATCACTTGCATTTGGGTGCTATTCTTACTAATAGTTGGCTGGGAAATATTAGTTGTTTCGAATTAGATACTATTTTCAATAAGCTGGTTTCCTATATTTTGGATCTATATGCTAAAATATCTACTAGCCAGTGCTTCACATTAATTTCTGACACATACTCTTTCCTCTTTTCCAGATTCAATTTCAATTTTGGAGCAAAACATTAAACACAAAATATTTTTTAATTCAGAAAAATGTCTCAAATTTGACCTCCTGCCTTCCATCAATTTCAGACTCCAGAGTTAACAAAGAAACAATTCAAGCTCATCAGTACGCTGAGTATGAAAGTACAGCAACAGAAAAGGAGCCAGGACAACTAACACTACTGTCTGTGAAGTAAAGCTAGACGGGGTCAAGGGAAACCAGGCAAAGATCTGTCTTCCCTTTCTATTCCTTTTCAAAATTTTATTTTTTTGTCATGTGGAGCATTTGTCTCTCCTCATGGTAAGGAAAAATAGAATAAATAAAGTAGCATTAATAAAATATGAGTAATATAAATGCAAACCTTTTGGCCAAATGAGCTTTCAATAAATTCAACTTTCCAACTTT